GCTTGCAAGGAAGGTATTCGCCCACAATACGTCGTAGAACACTTAGGAAAGAATATTGTTATCTGTATAATAAAAAAGTGTTTTCGCAGGTCGGGTTTTCTTTTCGGAAAAAAGTAGTCAGAGGATCGACGGGAAGAGTTGATGAAAATTTTTGTGTGTCGCATTCCTTTTATTATATTATATATCATCTGATATAATAAATAATATAATGAAAGAAATGTGACAATTACTAATCATTTAAGAATATTAGTGATTGCAAATTGATGTAATTATTATATCATAATGCTAAACGCAAAGCATATTTTCTATATCGATATATACAATTTTTCATTTAGCTATGCCATACATTATTAATTACGAATTCAGATATGATCTGCAGTGATACTTATAGCTTTTATTATAAAAGTTGGGGATAATTAATATAGTAAAAATTATATAGAGTTTGAATCTCAACGTCGTCTTATTTTTTATGGCCCTTAAAACTTGTGAAACTACTTTGTTAGTAGTAGGTTCCATATTATCAAACTTATACTATAGTCCGTATTCTTATCTTTGGTAGCAAAAAAACAATGACGAAAATAATAATAAAATTTCAAATTACTTTCCAATTCGTATTGGCCAAACTACAAAAGTAGTTTTAAATAAAAGAAACTTTTATAGTACTATCATAATAGGTAATTCTGTTAATGCATTTGCACTAGGTTTTATTTGTACTTCAGGTACTTTTTCAAGTAATGTAAAAAGTAGCTCTTCTGTTGTAATTTTAAATTTATATACTAAAATATTTCAAAAATTGAAAACTCGTTTTTCTGGTCCACTTGTAATAAGATGGAATGATAAAAATATAATTTCACAATTATCTCAAAATATTTTATTTTTCCTTTTTCTTTTGTTTTGGAAAATATCAAATTTTTGTTTATGGGATTAGTACTTCATTACACGAAAATTGGAATTATGGTGAGTTAGGATACAAAGCTTTACTTTGTAATAAATATAACAATAAACTAGCAATATTTGTATCTACGATTGATAACAAAAATTGTATACTCAAAATTTATTAAAATTATGAAATTCAAAAACAATTTGTAGCTAGTTCTCCAAATGAAGTTTAGAAAATTTCAGAGTTTATAATACAATACAAAGGAATACAACTTTTTGGGCTTGAAAATTTATTTACACAAAAAATTATTCAACAAAATTTAAAGCCTATGTGTTCTTTAGAAAATTGGCATGTTTTTTCTTTACTTGAATCTGTATACAATTACCATTTCAAACGCCAAACTCTTGCAAATATAAAATGGTATCAATTCTTTGAATTTTGGGCTAAAAGTAAAAATCTGATAATTAAACTTATATCTAGCCTTAGAAATCTTTATCTGAATGAATATGAATTTAGTAATCGAGAATTAAGAGCATGAAAAGCAATATTATGTGCTTCAGGTTGTCATAATGTAACTCCTTGGTTATCTGATAAATCAGAGATAAAAATTATCAGCAGTTAATAATTATATAATAATAATAAAATAGTCTTCTTATTTTTTTTTTTTATTATAAGTATCAATTTTGAACACGATCAACTAATTATGAAAAAGATAAAAATCTATTATATATGCTATACAAATCAGGATTTCTTCAGACCATACCTCAATATATTTCAAATAAATCTTTAATTTTTTAGAATTGCTTCAAATAAGCATTATCAATAAATAAAAAAACTCTAAATAGTAAATGACGTATATTATCAATTATAGCTAATGATTTTACTTACACTGAACTAGAATCAGAATTAGGAGCAAGTATTAATTTTATATTACATCAAATAAATTAATTTTTAGCTTTAAAGTTTTAAAATTTAATTTTTACTATATAATTAAGGTTGGTACACATACTATTTTAGAAGCTTGTAAACATGCACAATTTGTTGGTTATGGTGCTCTACTACTATCTAAACCTATTATTCATTGAGTTAAATTATCAGAAGAATCATTAGCTCAATTTGAAGTATTTTTTTCAAATAAAAATAATGTAATATAAGCAGTTATAAATCAGATAGCGAAACTGGATTACCTATATTGTATCTTCAAGATACTAAAGCATCCTTGTGGAAAAAATTTTTTGAATTATTTCCTAATAGTATGCGAAGAACTACATTTATGACACACCTTCAAGAAAATAGGTATCAATATAAAGAAGATTTAGGAGGTCTGTGTTCAATTTGTAATAAATATAGTTACAAGGTTTTTGTTGATATTGAGGATTTGATTGAAAATTATATTTTAGATATTCAAATATGAGTACCTATTTATTAATAAATAATAGTTTTGTTATTATATATTTCTAAAATTTACTAAAACTTTGTAATAGAAACAATTAAAAATACAAGCACAAATTTTGAGACGTTACCTGCATAGAAATTTTTCAAAGGAGTTAGATATTGATTTATTAGATTATGCAAATCATAATAAATGTATCAGCTATTGTATACCTTATGTATTTGGAGAATGTTATTTGGATCATTTAGATATTTGTAATAATTATGAATCTCTTTTATTATTTTTTGAAACATTACAAAGCAATCTTAAAAAAGAGCAACAAGAAATATTATCAGACTATCAAAATCAATTGATCACTTTTATAGCATATCATGTCTATAAAACTTATCTCAATGCACAGTTTAATACTCAATTTTCTAAACTTGATTCAGATAAAGCTTTAATAATCGTAGATTATAAAATAAAAATTCTTCCTAAAAAAGTCTGTAAAACAAAAAATGAATGGTTTGGAAAAAGAGAGTGGACACTTCATTCAGTTCTAGTATTGGTCAGAAGATACTTATCAGGATGCATAGTTTACAACGTCCTCATTGCATACAGTAATAGAAACCTTGAAGCCAAAGCCAAAATAAGTTACTATTATTTCAGACAATAGTGGACACTATCAGAATACAGAATTAATGATTATTATAGGGTATTGGAAAGAATAGTACAATATTAGTCCCTGTAGATAGCTATTCTTAGAAGCAAGTGAAGCAAAAACTACAATAGATTCTCATCATACTCAGGTATAAATTAATATTTATTTTCTTCTATATTATTCGTAATTTGCATTAGTGATTAGTATATATGGGTTTGTATAACAATCATATCACTAACAACTTAGTTTATTAAAATTAATTCACCTACAAGGTTTATTTTACAGACAATTTTATTTCATAAACAATTTATTTTAATGACAGCTCATTTTACAGACAAGTTTTTTTCCTAAACTGCACTAACTTTAACTCTAATACTAATCTTATCCTTAATGATGATAACTAGAATTACTTGTTTATAAGATGAACTGTCAGTAAAATATAATGTTTATAAAATTATTTGTTAGTGAATTAATCATCTGTAAAATAATCCTTGTCAGTAAATTAATTTTAGTGAACTAAATTGTCAGTGATGTGATTGTTAGTGAGTTGATTAGAACTGAGTATATATATATATTTTTAGATTTCACATGTAATAAAAAGATGGGTAAAAATAGGTCATGAAATAGAAGAAGGAGAGGATATTGAAAATGCTATCAAAGACCTTTCAGGTACTCATGTATCTCATCTTGAACCAAATCGAGATAAAGATAAATATTTGATTATATATATATATATATATATATTGAAGCAAATAAAATTATTTGAGTAGACGTTCCACTCTCCCCGTAGATCATTTTGACCATTTCCGGAGCTAAAGAAAAATCAAGTTTTTTTCAAGAATATCATTAAGAA